TTCAAAAACACTGACAGGACTTTTTGTTCCAACCTAATGGATGTAAGAGAGGCTGTCGAAAACGCTGATTTCATGAACCTAACAGTCCAAGTTGAGCGCTCGAAAATTAATGAAAATAGAACTTCTAGGAAAAATTAAGAGAAATGTCTTATAGAGCAGGGGACTCTCTGCAAAATGGTGTAAAACTTCATGGCAAAACTTGCAGTTCTTGTCGCGAAATTTTGAGCGAGAAAAAACGCCTTACTCATGAACGAACCCAGTAGTTAGGGTTTCCTGACGCTCCAGATAGCGGTCCTTTCTCACATAATATGTTCTTGTCTACAGATAGCTGTTTTTCGTAGGAACTCCATAATATGAAGTGAGAATAAGTTTGCTCCGTTCGACATCAAAATGGGCATGATCCCCATGTTTATTTACTGTCTTGAGCCCTGGTTCTTACCTATTCGATGTGCACTAAAATAATGTATCCTAAACTAGCCAGAGCGAAAGCGACCAATATCACCACCTACTTAAAGGGTCCGATTTAGTGCCGAGTGGATACGGTTTCAAAAAAAACTGGACCTTTGATAGATAAGTAGGAGTTTAGGCTGAAACGTGAAGTTCAAACTTTGACTGTGAGAAGAGCATACAAGCGTGACTGCATATCAAAGAAGCTACGCAACTGTCCACCCCAGTTGGCTGTGGTGTCTCCTTCCAGAGAAAGTCTTTGGAAATGTCATGTCAGCACTGTGGCACACGAAAATGCTGACTCCTCCGGAACCGATGCGATAGGTTGAAGCACCAACAGGGCAACACTAGGCAACACTACGAATCTTGCAGGTATCAGACACTTCAACATAAGGACCAGTGCTAAAATCAGCAGCCAGGCATAGACTGATCTCCATAAACTTAAAGGCACGGTCCGAAATAGAGAGCATAGGTAGTGGTGTTGGAATATGGGAGAGAAGCTGTCTAGTGACTCGTCTGTGAGGAGAAAATGTGTAGAAGGAACATCGGAGAAGCCCCTATTAGGGCCAGTCGAGCCTCAAACAATAGTACAGATAAGAAGCCAAAGGACCGTGTGATGGGATAAGACCGGTTTGCTGTGCCCTTACAAGTATGACCACTGTTAGGAACAGAAGAGCCCCCATTTTATGCTGCCTGCCCGGTAGCGTCGGTTTTGGCTGGAACGCAGAATTTGAAGACGGAGTCTGGAGGCAGAGTCACTGAAAATGGGACTGTCATTGGAGCATTTTTGCCCTTAACTCTTCAACCTTACAACTTCCCACCTCGAAACCGGCACAAGGTTGTCCATAGCTGACCACTACCTTTCCCCACACAACCTTTTACATTTTCGTAGGTCATCGCATACCTTTCCTTCAAGTTAGCACCATATGCAAACAGTGCGGAGAACCAAAATTACGAGTGCAACAGAAAAAGAATCAAACCATACCGTGAAAGAACAACACAAAATCCTCAAACAAAATCAGCTCGCTAAGTGCAATGCAGAATGGTAACCCTCGTTCCACAATAGACATGATTACAAAAGAAGGACTCATTACCCGGCATAACACTAGCGGACTGGCAACGGAAAGTGGTCGCTTTCTAAGTCGATCGTCGCCAGACAATGGGAACGGACTCCTGTGTTTTGCTATCTGAATTGACCTAATTCGGATCTCAGAATTTAACAAGTCTGTAATATTAGGTTGGCGGGAAAGTTCTGTCATACTTTTTTGAACCCTATTACCTGAAGAGGGCTAACCGGTAATGTGAGCATTTATACATTAAGGATTGATCTTTCTATTAGTGTCACTGGCTCGGCTCCTGCTCATCCTTATTCTGCATTATGGACAAGAATGTTATCCGCTACCTTCAGCACCGACCCCTTCAAGCGCTTCCTTAAACTATTTCTTCTACCACCCTGGCGCCAGCATGGCAGCTGTCGACGCCGAAATAATGGAGCTGCACAAGGACAATGTCTACAGTCATCAGACAATCTTCCACGACGCTAGCTCTTCAGAGCGGGAGCCTACGGTTCGAATGACGAAGTGAGGTTCGGGAGTACCTGTAAACTCAGCTCTAGATAGCGGTGGGTCGGGAAACTACTGGATGAAGAAGCTGCCTCCTCGGTCAATCCGTACGCAAGGCAGCTACGAGATCTGAAGCGAAATCGTCAAGCAGAGGGCAAAATCCATCGGCACAGTCCGTCTTCAACGTGCTGGTGCAGCACACCCGTCAAAAAAAGTTCGAGCCGTACTTCATGCAGTAGAGCTGGATGGCTCTCCCCTTGCACCGGTGTAGTCCAGACATTGCTCTTTCTGACTGCTAGTCGCCTCCCGTATCCAACCGTTATACAGCCGAGAAAACCTCCACAACTTGAGCAATCAAGTTGAGATGATGTCCAACTTTGCCGGTCCGCCTCGTGGCATTCTTAACAGATTGCATCCGCGAACGTCCAGAGCTGGCAAGAATTCTCAATTTATTAATGCTGATATAATTTTGACCGTGTAACTCACTCTCTGTAAGAAACGTCTAATTTGAAAAATTTAGACAGAAAACTTGCCCGCCAACCTATATAACAATAACCTCAAATATTACCTTACATTTCACCGAATCTAAGCACTTCAAATGGAAGCTAGCCTTGCGAAAAGCGAAAAATGCGCCCCGGTATGGACTTTGATCATGCTTCATGCTATCCTGCTGAGCGTATGCTCTCAACAAAGTTACGTGTTTATTAGTTTGACCAACTAACGCTGATGCATTGAAGCCAGACGGAAGGGTTTTCGTTGGTGGTTGGTTCCGTGTCTGGGCGGTAGAGAGATTGGGCTCTTGATGCGTTTGCTCTTGCCCATTTCGACAGCTTTCTGTGTGTTTCAAGAACTCGTGACCTTATCCAGTTTTTGTTTAGAACCTACAGCTTGGTCATCTCATTCTAAACAGCGGAGACATGTAATATGGCAGAAAACGGCAAGAGCTGCCAGACTCCTGTAATCGTTGTGCCAGCTGTTACTTTTAGCTACGTAATTCGTTGAAATTCAGTCAACACGAAGCCCATCAGAGCAATCTGTCGAAACTGAAAAGAAACCCAGGTGGTCAAAACTAGCGTTGGACTATCGAATCGGGCATCATACAAGGAAAAGGCGATGTTTGCATTGATCCTGAGTTGTACGAATAGTCGCATATAAGAGTCTTGCGTTAAAAGCAAAGCGAAAACTCGGAGAAGAAGCAGAAGTTCAAAAAAATTAGGACGAGAAGGAAGTTGCGGCTCAGAAGGACCTATAGTGTTGTCTTCGCACAAGAGACGCTGATGGATGAAGTCAAGCGTTGAAAGTCTCATCGCAGAGAGAAACCGATGCCGAACTTGCCGGCGAGACGGACATTTTCTCTGCAATATTGCACTCTCATTAACACATATCCCCTTAGAAAACGCGAAGTGCAACACCACTTCGAACCTCCAACGTTTGTAAGCTCACACTAAAAACTTCCGTAGCTCCGATCAAAGGTGTGCAACAGATGGAGGATTCGTAATCACTTTCCGGAGTCGCATTAGTCAACACACATTTTATTTTCAACGACCAGTTCACCTACCTCCTTTCACGGTGTGAGATATCTATTTATGAATATACGGGGGAGGGCGCCCAAAAAAAAGTCACTTTCGGACTGAGTACAATATCAGCAAAGTTTCGCCAGTCCCAGAGCAGCAAGACGTGGAACGGTACCACGGCGGAAGATACCCAAAGATGTTCCCTCGATAAAACAGGGCTCGGCCCCTCGCCCCATCACCTTCATGTACACCAAAATATGAGGTCATCTCCAGACGCGGCCTGACTGGAGAAGACCTTTGGAATTCATGTCATCTCCAAGCAGCTGCGTGAAACTTCTGCGTAATGGATCAACCCAATGGGTAACTACTGCGAAGCGAGCACTTTCGAAGAAGAAGTCTTTCCCCACATGTCGTCGCAACCCTACCTTCTTGTAAAAAAAACCTATTTGACTGCTGAACATTGTGGTCACCACGTGAGAATCGAAGGCGTGGAGCAAACTCTCGCCTACCCTGGAATGGAAGGGGACTTGAGTACCTAAGAAGATGCGAATATTAATAGCTCAACTGAATCCACCTTCAATTACCCGTTCAGGCGACATTCAATGTGTCTCGTGCGTGAAATCATATCTCGCTATCTAGGACAAACATCCGGTGCTGCCAGATCTCTCGATGCCCCTCGGCTGTGGCGGAGTGTCATAATAATATTTAATATGCTCTTTAATATGGTGATAGAAATGTCCGATAAAAATTTATAAAGTGTAACTTATAGCGCCTCGAAAGTCAATGAAGCAAAATGACATTTTTTTGGCTCCCCCTGTATTCTCTAGAGTATAGCTCTCCGCGTTTGCGCATCTAAGAGCAGCTCCTTATAAAGTATATATCTATTCATAGAGAGCCAATTTTTTAACTATTTTTGTTTTTGCTGTTTATTGTTGTTGTTTTGTTTGTTTGATCGTTATTTAACTGCTTGTTTCGGGAAACTGCAGGAGTTTTATCACTTCTTCCGTCTGTCAAGTAGATTCCAAATCCATCTCGAGGTTTTTTATCTTACTGTAGCTCCCTAGCCAGGAGCCATTGATCACTCCATGATGTGACGAAACTTCTCACTCCTAGGTGCATTCAAAAGTGATTGTTGAAGGCTAAGTTTGTCGATATTCTCATAAAGTAACCCATTCTGGCTTTCTCACCCAGATACATGTAATCTGCTCGACATTGTTGAACATGTCGTAGACCGCTTATATTTTTATCGTCAACATACATCTGGATTTTATCTTATGGTCAGGGGAAGTAAGAGTTCCAGCGGAGTGGGGGGAGTTGTCCAATGTATATATCAGGTTGCCCAAAAATCCCACCACTTCTGCAATTTTTTTCAAATATATTTCTCTCTTTCAATGCATCCGGCAATAAATGAATATGTACACTATTATTATATGCAGCATACAACATATCACCATTTATCAGGTAGTTCATGGATGCCTTATATGGAAATCATGCGGTTTTGATGGACAGATTCACCGAGGCACCCTCGAACTTGCAACGCATCTTCAGACTGCTTCACAGTTGGTTGGACGACAAGAGGAGCAGATGGTAGTTTGTTGGGGTCAGGTCCGCCGAATACGAATGGTGGACCAGCACATGCCTTCCGAGACACTGGAGTTTTTGCTGGGTTTCCTTCGCAACATACTACGCGTATTGTCTGGAGAGAAAATATCTCAGCTTGTTTTGACGCAGTATTGCCTGCAATGGATGTCTTCACTTGGAGTAGTGTTTGCAGGTAGCAGTTCCCAATGAGTGACTCGTTTAGAGTTCCACCAAACTTTGAGCATTGCTTTCTTTAGACAAAGTTGTGGTTTCCGTGGTTTCCCTCTAATTCGCCGCGACGGTCACTGACGCTTTCCGGTGTAATCAACGCAGGTTACCCACTTTGATTCGCTAGAGACCAAGTTGTCGTACCAAAAAAATTCCGTCGGAAGGTTAAGAAGTTGATGCATGCGTCCGTGCGCACCTGCAGCTGGTGACCGTTAAGAACATGCGGTATCCATGTGCCATAGCTTCATGTCTTCGGCCATGCAGATGGCTATTTAGAGGGATGTGACGACACTCGAGTCTCTCTGCCAGCTCACGGGCGGTACGCTGGAGATCCTCTTGAACCACTCGCCATTAACTGAAACTGGCTTCATAGAACGCGGTTGGTCCTCCAGGTCAAAGTCCTCGTTTCTGAGCTTTCGGCTCCAAACACTGCTGCCTTAGGAGACAGTGGAAGGGCCCATCGCATTACATTCCTCATTTATCGCGACTCTTGTTTCACCTTGTTTTCTGTATTTTCTGTAACATCTGCGCGGAAGAAAATCCTCGAAAATTTGTGCCTTGTCTGAGGAATTGCACTCAAATCGATTTGCTCTTGAACAGTGTGGTAGGAAAGACGAGTGAAATATTCACCCAAGGTTCCATAGATGTGATGAATTTTTTGCCTGGTGCATCAAATAATGCAGGTTAATTTGGATTAGATTTCATTTTCTACCATATGAGCCGTCTTTCTCGGGACGACGCTGTCGACTAGCTGAAAAGTTGTTTACATGGTCAACAAGGTCGTAATACAGTGCCTAACAAAAGTATATGGACATCGCACATTTCAACCTTTTTCGACTTTCGACCCTATGATTTTTACGTAATCGGACCTTTACTATTGAATTCCTAGATAACAAGACCTCAGTATACTTCACTTCGCGGCACTTTCTTGTGAGCGACTTTTCATTTTCTTATTATTTTAATTTTTGTTGTTCTCATGGTTTCTCGGGTATAGCGCCTTAAGTGTTGGTGCCTTGAAACCATGAACTGCGTCTCATTGAGGGTCACTATGATAGAAACGATGAACTGTGGCCCGACGTTTTTGAAACGATAACAGTTGGTAGAACTCTCTGACCGATCCACCACATCAGTACGGGTGCAGTATCCTTTTCTTTGTTGGGAAGCGGCAGTCGTGTTTTCCTGCTGTGAAACATGTTTCCTGCATCGCACACTTCTCAGAACGAACAGGGTGTGTTTAGCCACTCACTCATATTTCTAGGTGCCCATGCTTCACATCTGGAGCAAAAGTTCCATTTTCCTGGTTCCAGAGCTTTAAAACCACATGAGCACTCCTCCAGAGTTACAATTCGAGGACATCGGAAGCATCCGGCGAGAGATGTTGTTCGTTTTTAATTTCTTTCCCATTCTCTCAGCCATTTTTCCAAAGACCACACCTCATGTCATACCCTGTTGTACTACTACTGTTACACTACTTTCATGGACAAGCCCTAATCTTTTCATCTCCTTCACAGCAGTAAATCTGGTAGTACTCATCACGCTAAATTATGAAGAACATCCGCGTAATCGAAAAGCGCCCAAAGCCGTCATTGTTAGGTCAGCAAACTATTTGAATCGTTTTTTCGACCAACAGACCGAAATTTATCTTAGGCGACTCTGGCTATCCTTACCTTGATCCGAACATGTAGAAAATGTTGGTTGTTCCTCTGACTGTTATTTTTTTGAAAACTTCATAGGGTCGCAGTTTAGCCTGTCCATTATAAGAACCTTCAATGAAATGCGGTTCCTGACTTAAGTTTTGCTGCTTTTGCTTTTATTTTCCTTTTTTGCCATTGCTTCTTTTGCTTTTTTCGCATGTTTGCTGCTTGAGAAGCTATATACGAAACAACCATGAGAAACCTCGTTCAGGAGCGTGCCGGAGAAAATGACCAAACCAACATGAAATCATGAGGGGCTACCAGTCTCTAATCTGGAAGATAATTTTACTTTTTGATTAGCTGTCACATACTTTTCGTACAGACAAACTTTTTCCAATAATTGGAAAAAGGAAGGTCATCCATAACGTGTTGCCAAGTGAAGTATTCGTGAACCTCAGTATACTTCACTTGGCAGCAATTTATGGATGACTATAAATATCCGAGGAATTGAATAGTGAAGTGTGTACATTTTGCGAACAAAAGGGGTCCTTGTAGAGGCAAGTTTTGGGGCGTCCACATGCTTTCGTTACGTACACTACAGTCTTCTGTAGCCCGTTCAATGGATAAGGAAGCAGAGGAATACCCTTTCTTTCTGGGCCATCAGGTTCCTCAGTTGGATATCTTTATGCAATTCGCACGCAAACCTTGAAAGTAATAAATGAGGGAACGATGTAGAATTGTTCACAAACCTCCTGATTTTGCCGAGGTGGACATATAAAAACAACACAAGCCATTCCATATTCTGAAAATAAATTCAATGCTGCATAATAGTATATGCTGCTGAAATCTGTTAGGGGTAGGGTATAGCTGGTGTGATCTGACTAGGGAAGGTCGCCAGGTCGAAGTGGCCATTTGTAATGAGATGTAGCTCACTAGACGTGGTTTTGGACGCTGATCTCGAATCTGCCTTCAAATTTGCAGAACGATTTTCTGAACGGAGTTATGGAGCTTTTCCATCCGGGTCTACCATGAGGCCTTGGGATTGGATCCCTGCTAAGCCTTAACTTTTGCTTTTTGCAAGAACATGGCAAAAAGTGGTTTTGGCGTCACTACTACTTCAGTGCTCACCTAAACTTGTCTGAAGAAAAGTTTGCGCGCAGTTATCGCTGCGCTTGGGCGCCTTTGATTGAATTTTCAGGTGCACAGGTGCTCGTGCGCGTGGCGCACGATGCAGACGTTTTCGCGCTAAACGAGTGTCATATTCGTGTTCAGCGGGTCAAACTACCGTCAGGCACAAGTTTCTAGCCAAATCTGGCATTTTGACCTGACTTCGAAAAGTGAAGCATCCATGGGTGCAGTTCAATTCATGTCCACACCTATTCAGCTACAGATACATTCTCCTGTGCAAAGCGTCATCTTGCCATTTCGACGCTTTCATTCTGTTACTGCTCCAGTTTTCCTGATATCCAAAAGCAAATTCCTCCCGAAGACAAGCAGTCGATAAGTCTAATCCTAGAACTACTGGTGACCATCAATTCGATCAGCTGCTGCTGCACTTTTTCAAGGTTAGGCCAAAACCATATATTTGGCTAGAAACCTGTCCCCAGGGGTAGTTCTTCTACCTGAAT